GGGTGCGGGGTGGCCGAACCAAACACGCACACACGCACCGGCAGCAAGACTAAGGGAAAAAGCACGCTCTGCTGATCCCCTGTTGGCTGCGTCAACTCCCCTGGCGTGTGGGGCATTGCCTGTAACTGAAAGCACCACCCTCGACCAGAAGGGGCTAAAAGTGATCCAGAGCAAAAAGACTCGCGTGTTTGGGAAATCTGTGAATCTTTTCAACTTTCTCAAATCGTTTTGAAGGCGCTGCAGTTAAGAATGTTCTTCTCAAGCTTCGTTCTCCACAATGGCACTGCAGCGCACCTCCATCATGCACACGCAAGCGGTGCGACTATTAGCGCTGAAACCGAACCAAACAATCGAGATCGGCGATACAACACCCGTGACGCACAGTCATCTGTGCAGGCTCTTTGTGCAGAGGTCATCGGATGATGATGGCGGTGTCAGCATGAATCGAGGGAACATGCACGGCATGCCTCTTTCCGGGATAATGACTTTTTCTCCACAAACCATTCCGCCTTCGGTCTCCGACATAGTGCCGGAGCTGCAACTTAATCGATATCTTGAAACACACATGGACGAACCGGAAGATGGGCCCCTCGCCTGCACTTCAACATGGCAGGATGCACGCCACTCCACTACCCAAGCTTGCTGCAATGACGGGCTTAGTGATGTGGGTAACAGACAGCAGCAATAAGAACAGTATTCTGGGTCGAAACAATAATCGGAGATGCAGGTTCCTGCGACCAGCAGCTGGGTTCGGCGGCTCACTCGTGGGCAGACAGGTTCATCCTTGAACTTCAGAGCTCTACAAACCAGCTCGAATGAGCTCTAACACGTAAAAATAAAATCCGGAAAAAGGGATAAGTGAAGCTGGCTGAACGAAAGCCGCCGTCCTACGGGTGCGGTCCGATACATTGGATCCCACCGTGCCTCTAGCATACTGTGCAGGTAGAGACAAGCACAACAATGCAGCTGTTTCGTTCAGCCGGTCACTCCCAGACGAAGCTGGCGTCAGCCGGCTCAGTCGTCAGTCGTTAGTCCTTGGAGCAGGGGAGGATGCTCCTCTGGCAAACCCCCCGGCCTCTGCTTCAAGCTTACAAGCCTCAGGTTGGAGTATGCCCCACATATGACATTTAAGCCCGAAAGCTCTGAATTTACAGAATATTACCTCAGTCATATTAACATCTCGACTCGAACCGCGGGCCACTCGGTAGCTCGACGATGCACCCAACTTGCGAAGCACCAAGCTGGACTTTACAATGAAGAAGAAGCGGCCAGGTCCGGTGCAGGGCGGCAGAGCAGGGGGGGGCCTGTGGAAAGAACACAAACATAGGTGAAAAATCGTTAATATCTCTGTCCAACACCCTAAACACTACACCCTACACCCCTTTATGGAAAACTCTGAAAGCCTCAGCTCGAGGCCGGGAGGTCATTCATTGAAAGAGGAGGTGCAAAGGATGCTGGGGTGCGTCGGCGAAACTGTGACGATATCAGACCAGGCATAAAAACCCCAAAAGTCCGGCGACAATCAAGAAAAACATCAGGATCTTGGTCCCTGACACAGAGCTTCGAGCTCCTGGTGGCGAGCTGATGCCAATCATTTCGAGGACCTGTCTGTGAAGGGTTTGGGGTTGAGGGTCTGAGGTGGTTCGCATGGCAAGTCCCGTGACCTGCTGAGCAGTGATGGGGTGTAGCCAAGGTCCAGAATAGAGAGCATAAGGTTCGGGACTTCAGAGGCTCTTAGCACCAGGAGGGAAAGCGCTCAGAGGCAGTGACGACAGATAGCGGGTCGGGCCTGGGTGCAGCGTGCCATCATTCCTGTAGATCTGGATCGTCTTGCCTGGGATTTGCGCATATCCGACAACCGAAACAAACGCTGACAGTGTTCCACTGTTCTTCTCCGAATACCCCGAGCTTTGCTACGAAGCCACAACTGAATCACGGCACTGAAGCGCTGCCGAGCATCTGAGGCCAGTGTGGATCACAGTAAAGTGCGCGCCGTCGACGTCCCCCAGGCGGAACTGGCCGATTTGGAGGTAACCTAACATCAAGGGAAGCAGGGAACATCTGGACAAACCCCAACGACCCCAACCCCTGCCGCCTCCAACCATAGAATCTTAGGAGCACCGAGGTACCAAACCTTGAACCCTGCAACCCTGAACCACTGCTCCCCAGGTAAACATGTAAACTGAGCCGCGGTCGCCCTCAGAGATCCCGGAGAGTGGGGACGGCCTTCCGTAAGTGCCAAAGTCTCCACGCGGCCCCGGGAACAAATGGCCGTCATTTCTGAAGATCTGCGCCTCATGAGCTTGGGGCTTTAGGTTAACACTCCGCCTTCGGTGCCACGGGCGGAGTCGCCTAGAGCCAGCCACATCTGCAAACCAGACGTCCTGAAATCCACAGCAGGAGAACACTCCTGAAACACCACACCGTATATTGGTTTTGTGGTACTTCGGTGACAAAGTTACGTAGCGCAGCCGAAACCTTCAAAGGAGCCGGACCATGTCTCAAGCAAAGCACCCGGAGGCCAGTGCAGGCAAAGATTCTATTTCAGAAAGTCCCGAAGAACGGAAGGTTAAGAGTTAAGGACACGTTGATGAAGTGCAGAAGAACAAAAGTCATACGATAGCCCCTAGAAGCGGCGATGGCTTAGAACAACAACCCACCCACCCCTGACCGACAGGAATCACCGAGGGTCTTGGGGTTCGGGCTGAAAGCTCACCAAGAATCGGTTTTGCCACTCTTATGCGCGACTGACAAGTGGGCGTTGTCGATGGTTCCGATGCGGAAGGCCCCGATCTTGCGGAGGGGCACATACACAACTTTTTGACAGACGACACAGTCCCTGAAGCCCAACTGTCCGGGTCTCGAGCTGACTTGACCGTGCCATGCCGAACTTGTAGGATTGAGCTCCAGGGTCTTGGGTCTGGAAGCTCAGCGCCAAACAACCGACTCAAAAGGTCGGGATGAAGCTAGGTGGGGAATCCCAGAGCTGCAAAACAGAAAATACATCAGCCCACGTCATTGAGGCACGGGTTTCGACGGTAGCACAGAGGTTTAGGTTTAGGGCAATGGCCGCCGACACTTGCCAAGAATGGGTTTACACTGCGTGGTTGTTGCAAGTGCCCTACACTCAGAGAGCCGGGTACTCCTCAAGGCCCTACACTCAAGAGTCCAAGCAGCATCAGGCGCAGCTCTGTACAGGTGAGGGCAAACACTCTAAACCCCCCAAAGAGCCTCGACCCAGTTGCTGCCAAACATGATCCCCTTCGACTTCCCGATCTGTCTATTCCAGGTCCCATAGTCCTCAGTCATCTGCAGCCATCCCGACTCAGTGGCTTCATGGGGAACTCGTTACGGGTCTCACCTGTCTCTGAAAATGGGTTGAGGGTTGGGGGCGTGAAGTTGTGGGGCTCGGGACGTGAAGCTTGGAGACGTCGGGGAGCTGGGACGGGACGGGCATGACTATGGAGCCTGCTTCCGGAAGCTCCCGAAAGAGCATGAAAGCATTCATTCATGATGACCTGGTGCCCCTGATGCCCGTCTCGACTAGGGGTTGAGGGATTGGGGTCCCAAGACGGGGACTGGGACGAAAGCTGGCGCTGCGGAAGTGCAGCCTGCAAGCCCTGATCTGATCCTTGTGCTTATGGGTACGCAGCACGTGGCTAGCACAGGCGTTTCTATTTTCTAGTTGAATGGGTTGCTACCACGAGTAAGACTTTGTACTACCTGCAGTAACAGAAGCAGCAGCAACAAATACAGTGCCGCCCTAGCCTCAACATTCTTGGAGCACCACCTCGATTGCCTAACTCGCAGCGACGAGCCATTGCTTGCCTTCCCCTTCATGCCGAAGCTGCACTTTCTAGAGAAACTAGCCATAGAGGCCTAAACCCTAAGCCCGAATCCCTGGAACCCTAAAGCCCCAAAACCGTAAACCATAAAACCCTAAACCCTAAAACTCCAAAGCCCTAAAACTCTAAACCCTCAAACCCGAAACCATGACTTGAAAAGGCAAGCCGAAGCTCGCGGCGCGGACCAGGGTGCAGGGTGCCGTCACTGCGGAAGATCTGGGCCGTCCACCCATCCTGCAAACGATATGGATGTTTAGGGTTTAGGGATTGTGTTTACAAAGTTCGAGGACGAAGTGGCTGTTTGTTGATCTCGAGCCTCAGGCCTGCCCTGTAGCATACGTAGGTCACGACTCGGAATTAATCATGAATGTTCAGCTCGGCCATGCTATTATTGCAGGGGAAGACCACAAAGATTTCACGCACGTCGTATCTTCGAGTGAACGTGAATAGATGCAAGCATCGGCGTTGCGTGTCAGTGATTTTGTCAGGTGGACGGCATAAAAATATCTAAAATTCGAACAGTGGTTTCACTGCTTGGCTACCGAACTCGAGATCTTCTCTTCCTCCTGCCTTTGCGTCGACGAACTTGGATCGATAGCGTGCCTTTCTCTCGCGACCGCCACAGTGAACTGGATGGTGTTGTTGAACAGTGTTGGCTTCATGGATTTCGTCAAGCAGTCAGCCAGTTGCAAGTGGGTACGGGTAGGAATTATTCGCCAAATGCCTCCGGAAGGATGCAACACGGCGTGGTTCGGTGTCTCATCTTCCCACAGCGTCTGTCGTAGCCCAGCCTGCCATCTCAATCCCAAACCTTTTGTCTCCGACCTGCTTCTGCGAAGGCCGGCATCTACCTACAAAGGGGCTACCGGGCTCAAAGCAACACGCCTTTCTCTTCGAAGGCCACGAGAGGGCTGCTGTAGTCGCGCATTGGTCTGTACACAGGCACCCTAAGGCTCCGGTTAGCCTATT